TTAAAAATATCAATACACACATATATAATATTTAAACAAATATTTATTTTATGATAAATCCTTTTATTTGTGAGAAAAAACTTCCAATTTATTCATCAACTTTCAAGGCATTACAAGGAACACTAGAAACAATTTAATAAAATGTAGATTTAGGTTCGTAGACCACATAGCGACGACTACAAGCACGAGAACGAGTGGAAGGTGTGTTGCTGTCGTTATTCAGAAAGTCGTCGTGCTAAGGTCCCACAGAACCAACGCAACATAATAACAACAACAACCGACGTCGATGAAGAGAAGCGTAGATTAAAAGAATCCAACATATGAACACACGAACGTAGACTGAATTCACGGAGATCCATCGAAGAATAACACCGACCGAATCCTACACATAGGTCGTTGATTCCCTATATCAAAGCCCACTCGCCGCCGACGGTGACGCGTAGGTCGGCTTGTCCGATCGATCGAGCCCGCCTCGCTGGCACGTCTCGTCAGTACCCTCGTCTCACGTCGTCAGAGGTGGACGCAGCGGCAGCGAGAGATGAGATCCATGGCTACCGATCGGCGGTGGCGTAGGCGACTAGGGCGGCACATGCCGATGCCGTATACGGCACATGCATGCATGCACTGCACGGGAAAACAACCAACAGAGTAAGATCAGGTCATGCATCTTCGCCGGACCTGATCCGATCGTACTCCGTGTGATGCCAAAGACGACTCAAAGGAGACGGCACCGAGGACCATGCGATGCGTGCGTAGTGGGGTGCCGGCGAGGTGCGTGTGATAAGCCGAGCTGGTCACACGAAGGCGTGCACTGATGCAGTGATAAGCCAACGCCAGTGAAACAGTATGAGCTATCTACACTGTAGTTTTTGCTTGAATACTTTTCCTATAATTAGGGCATTATTGTTGATCTTAGAGCATCTACATCGTGACGCCTCAAACTCGCTTCATATGCCCAGGCGGGCCGCCCGGTCACTGACCGGTCATGTTTTTTCGAATCAGACGGACGTCTCAAACGCCCGGACTGACCGGCACCCCCATATCTAGCCTAAATATGGGGTAGACATGGAGGCGTCCGGACACGCCCATTACATCGGACTGACGAAGGGTTCCACGCGGAAACGTCCTCAAAACCGGCGGTCCGAAACTTGTCTCCTCTGTCGGACCGGTGGCGCCGCATGGCACAGCTCCGGCGGGCTGCGTAGTGCATTGCCTGGCTATTTAAGTCGACCGGCGGCACCGAAACTCTACCATCCATCCACATATTCCTCTTACTGTCCGCCGCCGCCACCACTTTCCACTCCACCCGTCCGCCTAGTAGCCATGCCTCCACGCCGCCGGGTGAGGAGCGAGTCATTTCTGATGCTGGAGCGCCGTCTCAAGCTCCTTGAACAGATCCGGAGGAGGAGTGGGAGGAGGAAGAGGACTTTGAGAAGGAGGAGATGAGCCGGGGGAGGAGGATGTGGGGGACGCTGGCAGCGGGAATCAGCAGACGGAGCAAAAGGTGCAGACGGAGCAGAAGGACATCTTCGATTCCCTCCGGTCGGAGTCGGCTGCAGAGGCAAGACGCTGTCGCCGGCAGGAGAAGGAGGTGTAAGAGGCCGCGGAGGAGGCGGAGATGTTTGCTTCAGGATGAGGTCGAACAGGAGGAGGATGAGCCGGAGCCCTCCTACCCGCTCATTTAGCCGGCGCCCGACACCGTCGTCGTGGACATCTCCGACAACGAAGAGTAGCTAGGGTAGTACGTACAATAGGATTTTTTTTGCATGTTTTGGATGGATTTAGGAGATGAAATATGAGAAAGGTGGATGTAAAATGGCTAATTTAAAGCGTGACCGGTCAATGCCCGCGGACATACATCGGAGGAGCGGGATTTGCGAAGTCCGCTATATAGATGCTCTTATGTAGTTGGCGACCGTTTGTTCCGAGAAATAAACGCAACAGTTGCCGACTAAAGCATTGTCGTCGCTAGCCGAGGACCACACGGCGGTCCCAGGTCGTCCGACGCCGGAGCGTCAAGACAGCTAGCACCGCACGGCCGAAACGTACTACTACGTCGTCCGATGGCTCCTTTCTATGCGGCCACTGTATCTGTCGTCGGCGATGCATGCTCGAACAACACAGGCCGGGCTGGCGTCTCCTGCCATCGTCTCAGACTCTCGGTCTCAGGTCCCGATGACTGCTGCTGCACTGCACCCGCCGATGCACGCGGAACACGCTGCTTCCTCCTCACTCACTCACGCGCACACCCGTGGTCTCGACCATGAATTCATGATGCCGGCCGGTTTGCCTATGTGCCCTGCTTTTGCGCTGATGCGCTTCTATTCCCTCTGTCCTGTGAGGAGTTGATACGAGTGGCCGAGCGCACGAAAATGCTAGACCTACAAACAAATAGTACGAGGTTTTACAGACTCTCTTCACGTACTGACCAATCACAAAATTGCCATCATGCATGCACCAGCTGCCCTTAAAAAGGGCAGCTAGCGCCTGCCTTGCCCGTGTCCCTCAAAGCCAGGGCACGGGCGCGGGTGCCTGCCGGCCGCACCAGGCCGTGTTCACGGGAGCACCAATGCTCTGCTGCTCTGCTCACCGTGTATCCCAACACGGCAGGCCACACCACAATCGAGTGCGGGTGAATTGATCTTTTGAGAGAGAATCAAGTGGTTAATCAGTTGCAGTCTTTTCCTTTCCATGGCGGGCCATCACCGTATTCGTATGCTCGCGGGTCATTCCGGGGGGACGGACGAGCGACGGCGGCCGGAGAACCATCAGCGGCGTGTCCAAGGTGGAATTGTGCACTCATTCTCCGACGGCGATGGGTGGCGATGATGATAAGGTAAGAACCGTATCACACCATCGCAGCAGCCAGCCAGCCAGACAGCTAGCAAGACCAAAATTGACACGTTGATACACGTTGACCACAAGTTTCCAGGACTTTGCTAGCGCCAGCGCTCCTTTTCTTTTGGCATACTACTCCATGGTCTGTATGCACCTACAATGCACGTTTTAACATTATGGGGTGATGGATTCAAGTCCCGATGCCGTATTATTTCTAAATTTATTTCAGAATTACCGGTGATGCGTTTTCAATGAAAGGAGATGTTCCCGTCGACGACATGGCGCCTGCGATGACTTTGTAAATCTCAAGATGATATGCCTCTGTGCCCATCACGATGGACGAACATTTGTCCTGGGATGACGCTGCAAAGGCGCATTTCCAAGCCATCCATTCTACGTTGGCGGTGGCTGTGGCGATTGAAACAAAATCGAACTGATATGGAATCATATGTGTTCTGGATTTTCGATTTTGGGGAAGAACAATTGTAGTCAATAACAAGTGGGGTGTACACGTATGAAAAGTATGAAGGTTGCCTTCTTTGTGCATATATGTTTGCGCAAAGCCGCCGCGGGCTTCATATCCATATGGCGGATGACGATCGCCTATACGGCGAACAGCGAAACTGCTAGAGTTGCTTAAGAAGGCAAGCTGCCTATAGTAGCAAGCATTTGATGACAAATGAACATATGTGCTGAATACAACATTTGCATTTCATACAGGGTGAAAAAAGAAAGAAAGAGAAAACCTTTTTCCAAAACAACTGATTAATCGAGCAAATAATATCAGCTGGGCCGCTTGTTCTGCCAGGAGCCTCTCATGGCCACACACACCCCACTCCCTTCTCTCTTGCATCATGAATGCATCCCATATGTTTGTTCTCTTCTCGAGCATCCCCTCGCTGTACTCCTCCCCCCTTCCTCCTTCTAGACGCCCTACCGTCTGCCCTAGATGCCCCGGCAGAAGTTTGGCCCTAGATGTCCCAACAAAAGCTTAGCGCCATCGACGTGGTGACTCCATGGTGCGGCTCGAGCTCACGCCAGCGAGCTCCGACGAGGCACCATGACTACAAGGGAATTGGTTCGATGTAGCTAGATCCAATACCGACAAGGCTTTGACGATGTCGGTGCTTCAATAACGAAGGTAAGTGATTTGGAGATCACAAACGAACAGACACCATGTCGCGGTGACTCGGGGGGTCTGCTTCGAGCTGCAGACTGCACAGGTCCCACTTTTCTCACTCGACCATTTTGCCACGACCGACAATGAACAGGTGCACACACAAACGTTTCCTACATGGGTGTTTTTGAAAACGCAGCAACGTTTATTCTTCATGTTATTGACACGGCCCAACGAGAAATGCTGATTTCCATAGGCCTCCGTCCTAAAATAAATGACTCAACGTTGCACTAACCGGGGTAGTAAGTCTAGGTCTATTTCGGCTATAGGAAAAGAAGTTGAACACAACAATAACGAACCCCACCGCTGGCCATGGATAGGGGGAGAGGGAAACACCCGAAACCGGAACTGACCACCCTGTCACGACGGGAACACGGGTGGACGCCGGCGACCCACCTGGGCGCTCCAGATCGGCACGAGGCCGCCGGACACGTCAGCCCCCCATCCGCCGCTCCGCCCCCGAACCCCAACCACCGTCGCGCGCCCCTGGCCACCCACCACGCGTCCCCCCGCCCAAACGATCCAGCCCAGCCTGCCCCCTCCTCCTTCCTCCCTCCTCCGGCGGCTTTAAATACCAGCCGAGCCACCCAAATTACGACGGAACCTTTTCCGATACCGCCCGCGCGAAGCCAAAAGCCAGCCCGAGAAAAGAATCCCGGCCTCCCCGTCGCGGAATCCGCCGGCTCGCCCCCGCCCGCGGCTGCGCATCTTCTGCTTCCTCTTCTTCTTCCCCCGAGTTTCCCGTGCGCTATTCTTTTCTTCCCTCCCTCCCCAGCCCCCGGACCTGGGGAAGAAGAAGCAGCGGCGGAGACGGGGCAGGAGGAGCCGGCGGGGGAAGACAAGGAGGAGCTTCGTTGTTCGTCTCCCCGCCGATTCGTTTCCGGATTAGCCGCCTCCCGCCGGAGCCAGCCATTGATTTGACCCAAAGCTCGCGTATTTCCCCGGAATCCCTCTCTGTGACGGAAGAGCAGCAGGCGGCGGCGGGATGGGGTACCAAGTGGTGGCGGCGCAGCTGGCGCGGCTGAGCGGCGCGCTGGGCACCTCGGACCACGCCTCCGTGGTCTCCATCACCCTCTTCGTCGCGCTGCTCTGCGCCTGCATCGTCCTCGGCCACCTGCTCGAGGAGAACCGCTGGCTCAACGAGTCCATCACCGCCCTCATCATCGTAAGCTCCCTCCCATTAACGATTCACCTTCCAATTTCTTTCTGCTCGGCCGGCCGCCGTCGCTAATGCTCGTCCCCCTTCCTCTTCATCCTGGACCGACGGACGAACAGGGGCTGTGCACCGGCGTGGTGATCCTGATGACCACCAAGGGGAAGAGCTCGCACGTGCTCGTCTTCAGCGAGGACCTCTTCTTCATCTACCTCCTGCCTCCCATCATCTTCAACGCCGGGTAAGCGTACCAAGGATTCATTCCTCTGAGCTCACTGAACTTTTCCGTCGAATCTCGATCGATTCTCGCGTGTGCTTCGATCTCGTTCCTTCCCGTTCCCGGCCCAGCCTAGCTGTCCACCGTATCAGAAATGGCCTGTGCATGTGGTGTGCGTTCTTTATTCAACGAATTTATGTTCTTTATTTAATTATACTCCTACCAAACATGGATGTTTCTACCGTCCCTCTCGCTGTCATATCTGGATCTGCCAGCAGCAGCTGCTGGAGCTGTATATTACTATTTTATCTTTTCTTAGGATCCAGCAGCTGCTGATTGGCAATATTGACTGTTGTTCCATCCTGGAACAATGATAAATAAACAATCTGCAGTTCTTACTGGTGTTATTTCCATAGGATTGTCTTTTTTACTGTGAGTAGGACCACCCATTTGTTCATGGCATTTAATACTTGCATGTACTACTGGGTGCCAGTAATCCTGTCCCATTAAGCAATTGACTGTATCTAGAAGAATCTGCCCCATCAATAATAGGCTGAATTTTGGTTCAGCATTTGGATCTCTTCTGAATGTTAGTACAAATTTGAATGTTCTCAGTTTCTCATAACTATTTCTCATCAGTTTCCAGGTGAAGAAGAAGCAGTTCTTCCGGAATTTCATGACAATCACACTATTTGGTGCCGTTGGGACGATGATGTCGTTTTTCACAATATCTCTTGGTATGCTACTTTCATCCTCCACAAAATCTGCTCGCTGTTTGCTTCGCGAGAATTTGTAGGCAGAGTAGATGAGTAGATGTCTGTTCTGCGGGGTTATCTCGGACTTCTCTGACGACTTCGATTACTACGTTTCAGCTGCCATTGCGATATTCAGCAGGATGAACATTGGGACACTGGATGTATCAGATTTTCTTGGTAAGCCGTCATTGCATTTCCACATAACCTGCACCCTGCAGCTGAGGCTATTAGCATGTGAACCTCATCTCTTTCTGATGTTTCCCATATGCAGCAATTGGAGCTATCTTTTCCGCCACAGATTCTGTCTGCACTCTACAGGTTTGTTGACAAAATTTCCTCACGATTCTCCTTTTTTTTTCACAGTAATTGCCATGATTATTATCTGAATTAGCAGCTCATGTAAAACCATGACTCAATCCACTGTTTACCCATATTTTTTCTGGAAAACAGGTTCTCAATCAGGACGAGACGCCCTTTTTGTACAGTCTGGTGTTCGGGGAAGGTGTTGTGAACGATGCCACATCGGTCGTGCTTTTCAACGCGCTCCAGAACTTCGATCCTAACCAGATCGACGCGATCGTCATTCTGAAGTTCTTGGGGAACTTCTGCTACTTATTCGTGTCAAGCACCTTCCTTGGAGTGTTTGTAAGTTATATTATTCTGGAGTCTCACCTTTGCACTCCTTTGCTTAGCTAAATGATCGTCGGCCACATGGATTTAACATTTCTTCCACAATTGGCAGACTGGATTGCTTAGTGCATACGTCATCAAGAAGTTATACATAGGAAGGTTTGTTCAACCCTTGAGTTCTTTCTTATTAAGCATCGATTTCGTGCGCGATACTGACTTGGTGCGTTGTTCAACTTATTTCAGGCATTCTACTGACCGTGAGGTTGCACTTGTGATGCTCATGGCCTACCTCTCATATATGCTAGCTGAGGTGTGCTTCTGGTTGGATACAACATAGAAACTTACACTACCAGTAGTAGTCTGAATCTAAGAACTCTCCCCCGTTTATCTGATCTTTGCAGCTGCTAGATTTGAGTGGTATCCTCACTGTATTCTTCTGTGGTATTGTGATGTCACATTACACTTGGCACAACGTGACAGAGAGCTCAAGAGTTACAACAAAGTAATCATAGTTCTTAGTCTGTTATTTCAATATAAGTAATCTTCTGTTCAGTCAAAAACTGCCGGCTAATTTTTTTGCCTTTTCTTCTCTTTAGGCATGCATTTGCAACCTTGTCCTTCATCGCTGAGACTTTTCTCTTCCTTTATGTTGGGATGGATGCACTGGATATTGAGAAGTGGAAATTTGCTAGTGACAGGTCAGAGATTTGTACTTGTCACCTCTAAACTG